CTTGTCATCAGACATTGGCTGGACACCTGCTTTGGGCCAGGCTTCCTGCTTGTTGGTGAAGACACAAAGATAACAGAAGTGGCCCTCAAGGAGCTCCTAGTCTGGGAGAAGATGGACACATGAAGTTACCCCCTTATGGAGGATGAATGTGCAAAGCAGAACATGAACCAAGTCCTCTGGGGAGCAGAATAGGCTGGTCAGTTTGTCTCGGAATTGCAAAGCTCCTCAGAGGGGCCACTGTGGAAGCTGAATGCATCCCAGGAAGGGGACTAGCACAGGCCTGGGGGTGGCAGGAGAGGCCTGGCTAGTTGGAGTGGCCTCAAGCCTGTCATGCTGGACTGCAGGGAACGGAGAGAGAGGCAGGAACTGAGGCCTGAGCAGCACTTGGAAGCAGCTCACAGAGGGCCCGACTCGGACGTTCTCAGGGGCAATAGGGCTCCTCTGAGGGGTTTCGAGGAGAAAAGGGATATGACTGGCCTTATCCCAGGCTGGAAACCCCTTTTTCTGGGTGTGTCAGGGAAACGGAGAGATCCTACTAACTGGGTTCCCCCAGAGAACCAGACTACTCAGGAGTCATAAACTAATCTGCCTTGCCCTCTGCCTCAGTCTTCCCCAACAGCAACACTCCTGGCCCAGGCTCACCCTCAGAACGAGGACCACAGAACAAGGTTACTCTCCCCAAGGGGAGAGCCAATGATGGGCCATGGTGGAAAAATCTCACAGTGGGACAGAAAATATCTGGGACTAAGAACCAGCACCATGTATAGCCTCAGTTTTCCAATCTGGGAAGCGGGGATAAAAATGAGTGAGTCTGGAGGGTGCAGAGGGGAGGGTCAGGAGATCCTCTGCCCTTCAGCGCTGACCTCTTGCTGGGTTCAGACTTCCTGACCCCTGTGGGACTGTACCCAATCCCTCATCCCTCCCTCAAAGAAAGCCACTGATTCCCAGAGGCAAGTGTGTCCTGGACAGAAGAATAGTAGGAATGAGCTGAGCTATTTGGGCAGAAAGAATTCTAGTTGGACTTGTATACGTGTCATTAACACGTCAAAGGGTGAGTTCATCCTTCTCAAATACTCTCTCATACTCCTCTCCCCCTCCCTCCCTGGGATATTTATTTTATCCCCTGGACAAGCACTGAGAACATGTATTTCACCCACACGAACAGGGTAAATGGAGTCACTTACAAAATTGCTAGTCCGAGTCCCGACAGAATAGCTTACTCTTGTTAGTCAGATGAAAGTCTTCAATGAGTTGAGGCCCCAAAACCATTAAATATTAACCACATAACCATGTAGCCCATTAAATTAATTTATGGAGTTAAAGAAATGCCTTTGGAGTCCCTCTTGATAGACACCTGGCCCTCAAGTGCCACATAAAACAATCACTTGCTAGTGCTCAGTAAATTTTCCACGATGCTCATCCAATCTGCTCCATATACGTTTAAAATTAACTCTGAGATTTGGGCTGTGAAACTGCCATTAGGCAGAGGGACTGGCTGGCTGGCGAGGGCAGGGAGCCTGAATCTGGGGAGGTCCACTGCGGGGTCAGACTTTCCACGTCTGAGTCCTTGCAGAGGAGACGGCTGCTCTGTGTGCAGAGACAGCTTCACAATTTCACACAAATTTGAGTCCCCACCAAATCCCCAATTCTGAGCCCACCTTGTCTAGCACATCCAAGGAAGAAGATGTTGATTGGCCAAGCAGAGCTGGATATGTAGGGTACTGTAAATAAAGACTCCAGAGGCTCTAAGCAGAGTGTATCCAAGGACAGGTATGGACAAAGGAAGAGCTGGCCACGGTGTGGACTGCACATGGCACTGGCCGTGACATTGGCTGTGGCTGGCAGTGATGCCCAGTGGACGCTTGGATACTGACTGGCCACAGATTGGACTGTCTGGTGGCTGAGCTGTGAAATGAACTGCTGGGTGGCAGTGGCCATGGACTGATGCTGGCTTACCCCTAACGACCATTCCAAGGTCAGTGGGTTTCTCAGACAATCAGAGCACAGATCCCAGCTTTCTAGTTCAGCAGAATTAAAGGTCACTCTGCGCTGCTCCACCCCCCACCATTTTCAGAGTAAATTGCTGCCTGTGAGATGGCTGTCTGCTTGGTGAACCCATGACACTGCTTCTTGTCTGGCTCTGAGCAGATCTGTGCTAATCGGGTTAGGAGGCCCCTCCTCTTGTAGACCCCACTTCAACTGCTCCCCAGACACCAGCAGCACACTGGAGCCCTAGACCCCCCTGAATCAGGAATCCTGTTCAAAGCCTGATCCCAGGAGATAAGATGCTATCAGTTTCCTCCTCCAGATGATCCAGGAGATGGCATTTCCACGGAGCCCAGCTGCAGATGCCTTGGGCTCCACCAGCTCAGGGAGGCCGAGGCTGATGCGAGCCATAAATCCCAGCTAGAAAAGGCTTCCTCCCGCCCTTTGCCCCCTCCTCTGCTAGCTTTGTCCATTTACTTAACTTCTTGGGAAAGGAATAAAGAGAAATAAAAGCTTGGGCTGTAGCCATCAATTTAACTAGGAATGATAAATGCCTTTTAAAGAGAAAAATGAATATTGATCTGAAGAAGAGGAGCTTCTAGCTTATGGGAATTCATTGTCAGGGCATCCTTTTAGTATAAGGCAGAAAATGTCACCCAAGTATAGTCTGCACAGTNTCTTGGGAAAGGAATAAAGAGAAATAAAAGCTTGGGCTGTAGCCATCAATTTAACTAGGAATGATAAATGCCTTTTAAAGAGAAAAATGAATATTGATCTGAAGAAGAGGAGCTTCTAGCTTATGGGAATTCATTGTCAGGGCATCCTTTTAGTATAAGGCAGAAAATGTCACCCAAGTATAGTCTGCACAGTCACGACATTCAAACTTCAGTTTAATGAAGATTATATGGGAGCGACTATCTTCCTATAGGCCTAGGAATACCAGTTAGGAAATTTAGTAACTTGGTTCACATTTTAACATTTTTATTGTGAAGCATAATGATTCAGAATTATAAAATATTAGTGTAGAAAGGGACCTTATAGGTAACAGCTTTGTGCAAGGACAAAGCATTTCAAGAGTTATAAAACAGTGTGATGTACATTCTCCCACTCAACTCCCTGTGAGCTAGTTGTTTTCACGCCCATTTTACAGATGAGGAAACTGGGGCTCAAAGAGGTAACACAACTTGTCCAAGGTCACACAGCTAGTAAGTGGGGCACTGGAATTTGGCTCTAGCTCTTCTCACCCTGACACTCCTAATACCAGCACTTGGGACAAAACATCATACCACACCCGTCTCGCCTCAAGATCCCTGAGTCAGACACCACATTGGTTTCACTTAACTAAGAAATTCTATCTCGGGCCGGCCCGGTGGCGCACTGGAGAGTGCGCCGCTTGGGAGTGCGGCGGCGCTCC